CTCCAACCCCGGCTCCGGCCGCATTTCCGGGCTGGAGCTACCTAAACGCTGAGGACGGTTTCCTCTTAAAAGAGAAACGGCGGCCGCGCGCGCGAGGTGGGCCCCCAGTTTTCCAGTCGCTCTCCAGGCCTGTGCGCGAGGCCGCCAGGGGCGCAGCCATAGTCGGGGTGAGGGCGGGGTGGGGCCAGCAGGTAAGGTCGGAGTGGGGGTGGCAGCGGCGGGGACTCTTGGCCACCTGGAACTTGCCTTTGGGGTTTGGCCTTAGCCCACGCATTATGAGCGTTAAGTGGAGTGGCTAGAGAGCGAGTGGGGCGCACCCTCAGACTCCCGCCCTCATAGCTCCAGTCGACACAACTCTGGAAAAGCGCCTGTGCACGCCAGGACACGAGTCTGCCCCCTCCCCCTCGGCCCGCTCCTCAAGCCCCCATAAACCAGTAAATGCGGATACCCGCCTGAAGAAGAAATGTCTGCAACCCATTGGTTGAAATATCCCAATGCCCTCTCATGAAAATCGCAATCCCCTTCCCCGTAGCTCCTGTTTCTACAATTCAGTGGGTCCAAGGGCTCAGGCCTTTGTTCTAACTTTGACCTTGCCGCCACCTCCCACTCCAAGACACCCACCCCATAGCGCTGAATTTACACACCGTATAATAGAAGGAGGGGTGCTTTGAGCCCAGTTGCAGCTAATACTATTTAAATATTTCAGCCTTTCCCATTTGATTGATGAGGAAACTGAGGCCCACAGAGGCGGAGTGGACCTCAGGTCTCCGCCTGCCCCCAGATCAGGTTGGGCCCGATGGTGCATCTCTTTTACCCTCCAGGCCCTGCAATATGGCTTCTTCCCCGGCGGACGCAAGCCGGAGGCGGCGGGAGAAGCGGCGGCAACTGGATGCCCGCCGCAGCAAGTGTCGTATACGCCTGGGCGGCCACATGGAGCAGTGGTGCCTCCTGAAGGAGCGACTGGGTTTCTCCCTGCACTCGCAGCTCGCCAAGTTCCTGTTGGACCGGTTAGGGGCTGAGGGAAGGAGGGGGCTCCATGGGAGGGCACCAGGCAGAAGCTCCCAGGCGCCCTCCGCAGGGCCAAGTTAAGCTCCTGCTGCTTCTTCAGGCCTGAAGATTTCTCACTTCACCTGGACTGCCTGTGTGATAAAGCTTTCCCATGTTCCTGTATCTTGTCTTGTGGTCTCCAGCAAATAGGGTTTTTTCACAACTGGCCCCTGAAGTAAAAGTGAGTGCCCATCGAGGGCATTTAGCCAAGTGAGCTGCCACTTCACCTGTCTTCTCTCCCCCTGGCAGGTACATTTCTTCAAGCTGTATACTCTGTGCAGGTAGGCAGAGGATGGCTGGGGGATGCTGGTAGAGGGAGGACAGAAGTGCTCAAGATGTGTGTGTGTGTGTGGGGGGTGAGTAGGAGCTTAGGAGCCTGAGTGGAAGGGGAAGCAGTGAGTGAATTTGGGAAGGTGGGGAGTTGGGGAGCCCAGGATAGTGTGATGGACATCATGTGGGGAAGGGAGCAATGCCTTAGGACGCTTGTGGTCCTGAGCTCTCAAGAATGGCAAATTAGAGGAGGAAGGGACTTGGGTAGCTTGGGGTTGGAGGGATGGGAAGAGTAAGAAGACCGTATGGGTGCAGAGGGTGTCTGGGTGTGAAGGGTGTCCAGGGTTAATGGAGGAGGCCTCCCAGCTAAGCCTGACTGCCTCCCTCATCCCTCCAGGCCCTGAGCCTTCACCTCCCAAGGGTCTGCAGTACCTTGTACTCCTGTGTCATGCTCACAGCCAAGAGTGTAGCCTGGTGCCTGGGCTTCGAGAGCCTGGGGGCCGTGATGGGGGACTTGTGTGGGAGTGTTCGGCAGGCCATACCTTCTCCTGGGACCCCTCTTTGGGCTCCACACCTCCAGAGGCACCCAAGCCAATCCCCCTTCGACGGTCTGCCCGGAGAAGCTGGTGCTCAGAGACCAAGAGTGGACAGAAGCCTGCAGGTAGGCTGGGAGAGATAAGAGTTGGAAAGGAAAAGAAAGAAAAAGATCTTCCATCTTCTATGGCATATATCCATTGTCTAAAAATGATCCTTTCTTAATGAAAAAACTGTGCTGACAAAGAGTATATCCAAAATATATTAGTAGGTGTGAAAAACAAAATTCAGAATAGGATGTATGATATACTACTATTTGTGGAAAATAAAAAGAGAGTAAAAAGAAATACATATTTGTATGCAATTGTTAATGCATAAAATAACTGGAAGGACATGTAAGAAACCAGGTTGCCTGTTGGAAGAACTAGGGGACAGTGTTTTTTTTGTTTTGTTTTGTTTTTTTGGTGAAAATATATACCACACATCAAAACACACACCCATTCAGCAATTTCTCCATGTTCAATTCCGTGACATTGGTTATGTTCTTCACATTGTGTCATCATTCTTGCTATCTCCACCCAGATTATTTTATCACCATCAACATAGACTCATTGCTCCCTAAATTTCTCATCTAGACTTTAGAGTGTTGTTGACAATTTGATCTTATATAGATAATTCTTTAAAGAAGAGCAATGATCAAGACAAGCATGTTTTTAACTAATGGAGCTAAGCTGTTGTTTGGGCTAAAGATTTCAGAAAATAGTTATGGTTCAAGGTTTAAAGATTGTCTCAGGGCAATAGAATGGGATGTTCCTTTAGTCTCAATGGGTCTACTAAGTTTGGATTCTATAGAAATTTGAAATTCTGTTATATGTGTTTCCCCCTTTTGATCAAGATCCATTTGTTGAGTCCCTGATCAAAATATTCAGTAATGGTATGGCAAAACAGGCAGTAGTTCACAGAGACAGTTAGGTCTGCAGTCAGTTCCTTCTCTGATTTTTGGGTCTGGAATTGAGACTTTTCACTGTGTACCTTTTTATACTCTTATTTTTTAAAAAACCATATGAATATATCATATTGTAAGGTGAAATTCCTGCTTCCATTCTAGTACCCTCTGTCCCTTCCTCCTCCTTCCTAACAGACCTTAGAACTCCACCTGTCCTCATTCCTTGAGCCCAGAGTTCCTTCCCCTTTGACCCTGCCTATGCCAACAGGTTTAGAATCTGAGGATGGTGAGAAGACTCAGGAATCCAGGTTGCCCAGGTGAGGTTCAGAGGTGGGGGGCAGGATAGACCTGGGTGGACAATGGAGGTGAGGGAGCAGGACCTCAGCTTTGCTTTCCTTTGCCTGCAGTGGTGTAGGACAACCATCAGAGACTTCCCTGCCCCCAAGAGAGGAAGATAGGGTGGAAGAAGAGGAAGAGGAGGATGAAGAGGAGATGCTCAGTGATGCGAGCCCATGGACCTACAGTTCCTCCCCAGATGAGCAAGTGGGGGCTGAGGAGGGATAGTGAAGAGAACAGGAGGAGGAAGGAGGTGGCAGGCTCAGGAATCCAGAGCTTTGCAGACATGATGGACTTTTTTGGGGAGGAGGGAGAAAGTTGGGCTTTGGGAAAAGTAAAAAGGACTAGAGGCTTTGAATTGAGGTAGAATAGGGTGAAATCAGGCTCTGGGGAAGACTGAGGACTAAAAGTAGGTATGAACAGAAAGCCAGGGGTGGGGCTGGGGTTGTTCTGAGATTTAGAAGCCAGGATGGGGAAGAGACTGGGCCTGGTTTGAGAGCTTGGGTAGATAATGCCCTCTTACTCTTTCTTCTCTTTTCAGCAGTGAGCCAGATATTCCCAGCTCCCCCAAACCACCTCCTGCCTCTCTCACCCCTTCCTTTAAAGAGGAGGAGAAACCACCTGCCCCCTCAGATCTCTCCACTCCTCTGGCTACACCATCCTCTTCAGTATCCTGTTTGGGTTCTGGACTTCCTTTGACTGCAGAAATCAGAACACAGCCAGAGCTTAGTGAGACCCCTCAGGCAGCCCAGGATACTGAGCTCCCAGCCAGGTAACCTGATAGCTGAGACAGAGGGCAGAAAAGTTCTGGAATGTGACCCTTCCTTGAGCCCCTCTGATCCCCTCTTTGCTGCCAGTAGCCCTGGAAGTCAAGCCCAGTCTGCCCCAACCCCAGCCTGTGATGAAGACACTGCACAGATTGGCCCCAAGAGAATCAGGTAGGACTTGGGGGAAGGGGGTTCTGAGGAGAGGGACAAGAGGAAAAAGGCAGAGAAGAGTGGGCAAGACTCCTATTCTTACCCATTTTCTTTCCCCAGGAAAGCTGCCAAAAGAGAACTTCTGCCTTGTGACTTCCCTGGCTGTGGAAAGATCTTCTCTAACCGGCAGTATTTGAATGTGAGGGGCACAGGTTGGGTTTTGTGATTCCACTGGGTGTGAGAAAGAGAGGATAGGGGCTGAAAGAGATACTAAGGAGAGGGACTCTATGGTGTGGAGGGATTTGGAGCCAGAAAGAAGTTAATAATCAAGCAGTTGTTTCATTAAACCAGATAACTGATAGATGAGGCAGAAAATCCAAGCCTCAACTGCTCAAAGCCACTTACCACTACTGCTTATGACATGGAACCTCAGAGAATTACAGAGATATGGCAGCGGTAATTATCAAGCTCTTATGGTGCACTAGTGACTATTCTAAGGCCTTAACATGCATCAAGTCATTTGAGCCTCACAGCATCCCTATGGAGTATCCCATTGCCATGGAATTGATTCCTATTCATCGTGACCCCATGTATTATAGACTAAAACTGCTTCACAGGGTTTTCATGGCTCTAATCTTGCTCTGGTAGCATAGTGGCTAAGTCACTTGCCTGCTAACCAGACGGCTGGCGGTTCAAACCCACCAGCCACTCCTCGGAAGGAAGGTTGGGCAATCCTACTTCTGTAGTGATACTGCCTCGAAAACCCAAGGAGGGGTCGCTATGAGTTGGGGCCGACTCAATGGCACATAACAACAACAATCTTTTACGGAAGCATATCACCAGGTCTTTCTTCTGCAGTGCTGCTGGGTGGATTCAAACCACCAACCTTTAGGTTAGTAGTCGAGCACAAACCATTTGTGCCACCCAAGGACCTCCCGATGGAGTAGGTGTTGTTCCTATTCCTGCTTTCTAGGTGAAGAAAAAGAAATTATTTATATGTATTTATAAATAAATACATACTTGTATGCAATTGTTAATGCATAAAATAACTGGAAGGACATGTAAGAAACCAGGTTTCTTTATAAATACACTTTGCATAAAGTGCATAGCTAAGTGAAGAAATTTGCCCCTGGTTCCTCAGGTAGTATGTGGTAGTGCAGGGATTCTGAGCCTGGGAGCCTGGCTTCAGAGTCCACACTCTGGAGGCTTCACCATACTTTCCAGGTAGGTAGCCCTAGAGTGGGAAGAACTGGGAAATGATCCCGTCCCAAACCTCATTGCATGAGAGGTATGAGCCACAGAAGGATGAAGGGCCAGCCCTACAATCAGCCAAAGCCCTCTACAGGTCATGTCTAAGATTGAGGGAAGAAGGTACCAGACCAGAGGGAGGGATGGCGAGGCATAGGTGACAAAACCAAACCAAACCAAATTCATTGCCGTTGAATCATATCCGATTCATAGCTACCCCTCCTTGGGTTTCTGAGGCGATATCTCTGTGGAAGTAGATTGCCCAATCTTCCTTCTGAGGAGTAGCTGGTGGGTTTGAACCACCAGCCTTCTGGTTAGCCATCAAATGCCTTAGGCACTATGCCATCAGAGCTCCCATAGATGGACAAGATGGGGGAAAAGCTTTGGTAAAGATGATATAGAGAGGAAGTGAATGGAAAAGGGGGGTGGATATCCCTGTGTATTCTTGAGTGTCAGTAAAGCTCAAAGCTGAGAAGAGCATTCAGCTGTGGAAGGTCAAACATTTCTTGAGCCTGTTATGGAGGGAACTGAAGCAGCCTCTGGTGATTTAACTATGAAAAAAATGGTGTTACAGAAAAAGAGGAAAGCCCATGCTATTTAGTGAAGTAGCATGAGAAATTAGATCAAGTAAAAAGATAAATACTTTCCATATTGGGGAATTACAGTTGAAGAAGCCTTAAAAGTGTTCTAGGTTGAGTGTATGTGTGTGTGTGTGTGTGTGTGTTTTCAAAGCAGATTTAGGAGAAAATTATAGTGTACTCATAGTGAGCTATTAATGAAAAACAGAGTGGAAAATATTTTTATACATTAGAACTGATATTGAAGAGAATAATCATGCGAGCAATAATCTGCAGTATTCTCCTTTCCTACCTTGTCACAGAGAAAATTCATGGCTAGTTAAACCAGAAGTGTCATGGGAGCAGTATTTTGCATAGGAAACTAGACATTGCAAAGTGAGGGTATGGCAAGGAGTTGAGATAATGGAACTGGAGAGCAGAGTACAGACAAGGGAAAATGAGATCAAGGTGCTCATGGTAGAGATGAGGACTGGGCCAGGGTAACGTGAACTTCTGGCCATGACATGGAGAACTGCTGGGGTGCAGATGTTGTAGGATAGGGACAGGCAGCAGAGCCCATCTGCCTGGTAAGCTCTGAATTGCAGCCCCAGGGATTGCGGCTATCCTTTGTTCTCTTCTTCCCTGCCACCTGCTTTCCTTCTCTAGCACCACAAGAAGTACCAGCACATCCACCAGAAGTCCTTCTCCTGCCCAGAGCCAGCCTGTGGGAAGTCTTTCAACTTTAAGAAACACCTGAAGGAGCATGTGAAATTGCATAGTGGTGAGTGGTGAAATTTGCCACCTTCAGCTCCTTCTTTGTGGGTTCCTAGACATCTTGTGCATTCATTCATCCTTCATTCATTATATGTTGAACATCTTCTTGAGACTCTGTTCTAGGTGCTGGTGCTGGGAATATAGCAGTTAACAGTCCCTAACCTTCATGAGCTGTGATAGCATAGTGCTTGACTGCTAATCAGAAGACTGGCGGTTCAAACCCACTAGCCACTCCTCAGAAGGAAGGTTGGGCAATCTACTTCTGTAGTGATACAGCCTCGGAAACCCAAGGAGGGCTCACTATGAGTCGGGTTCTACTGGACGACACATAACAACCTTCATGAGATTTCCATACCATTGATAAAGTGCTGTGGAGAAACATAAAAGCAGGATAAGGGAGTAGAATGTGCTCTTGTAGAAAGGGAAGTCCCTTTGAACAAAAGACTTGAATGAAGTGAGGACCTAAGACCTATATATATCTACAGGAAGTACAGGTGGGAAGACCCTGCAGTGGGATCTGCATGGTGTATTTGATGAATGGGGAGGAGGCCACTGAGGTTAGAAAGAAAAGATTGAGGTCAGATAGGTGATGGGCATCTCAGAGACCACTGTTAGGTTGGCTTGGCTTCTACTCTGAGATGGGTGCCATCAGCAGGTCTTGGGAGGGATGTGACCGACTTTTAAAAGAGTCACTGAAAGGAAAAGAAAAGAAAAAAAGGAATACTGGCAGATGTGTGGTGAATAGACAGCCAAGGGCAGAGAAGTGACTGTAGAAATAAGCCCTGTGCAAGATGAGCCTGGATTCAACTTAGCAGTCCAGTTGGTAAGAAGTGGCCGGAGGCTGACTGGAGTATAAAGGTGTGACTAGAAGAGTTGGTTGCTGCCAGACCAGATGGATTGGCTACTGGTTTAAAAGGAAGGAGCATTTGAGGTTGTCTCGAGGATACTGGTCTGAGCTACTGGGCAGATGATGTGATTGACTGAAAATGAGGGGAGAAGTAGGCCTGGGGAGAAGGAACTTTGATTTGGCACACACTGGTTAGCTATCCAAGGAGAGATATCAGGTAGGTAGTTGAGTCTGTGAATCTGGGGTTCCAGAAAGATGTCAGGCAAAAAATATTAATGTGTGTCCTGAGCATATGGTTAGTATTTGAAACTGTGGAACTGGGTATGCTTAGGGAGTGAGACCAAATAGAGAAGAGATATGAGTGCAGCACACCTGCTGTTAGTGGACAGGAGGAGAGGAGGGGCAGCCACAGAGAGACATTGAGGAAGGTGAGGAGAGCGGTCTCCAAGGAATACGATAAAGTGTTCCAAGAAGGAGGGAAGGGTGAGCTGTGTCAGTGCTATAGGACTGAGTAAGAAGAGGATGGAAATAGCCCACTGGATGGGGCAGCGTAGCAGCCATCCTTGACCTTGACAAGATGGCACTGATAAGATGAAAGCTGGAATGGAGTGGGTTCCAGACAGTGTGAAGTTGAAGAAGTGCAGACAAAAAGTATGGATAACTCTTCAGTTTTGCTGTGAAGACAGAGAAACGGGGTCATAGCTGGTGAACTCTGATCTAGGAGCACAGAGATGGGAATGATCCCATAGGGGAAAGGCTTGCTGACAGTAGGGTGGAGTGTGGAACAGTCTCCTTGAGTTGGCAAAAAGCGCTGGGTTACAAAGCACAGTGGACTATGGCCTCAGGGGAATAAGTGGGTGTTCATGTGTGTGGGTACAGATGCAGGTTGTCTGGTGGATTTGATGGTGGGAGGATATGGGAGTTCTCTTGTGATTTCTTTTCTTGGTGACTTAAAGAATGAAATCAACAACTGAGTGAGAATAGTGGGCTGGGGGTGTTGTAGGGTTGTGGAGAGAGGTGATGTGAAATGACCTTCTAGGCTCCAGAATGTGGGAGTGTGAATTGGCCAGAGAAATGTATAATGTACGCTTGTGGTTGTGGATAAAGGAGAGGCCAGTGGCAGAGTTGTGGGGTGTGCTTCTAACCCCCCTCGATGCACATGTATAGGCCTAGAGCAGACCAAGTGTTATGTTTATCTTGAATTGGAGTTTAACCTGGTAGGTATAATAGATCAGGTGAACTGGTAGTGTAAATGAAAGAATGGCTACTAAGATGGGCCATGGAATGGAGCTGGGTGAGAGGGGTAGGGAGGGCAAGAGGGTGTTGAAAGATAGTATGGAGGTGGTGGGGCCATTGGCTTGGCAGCCTGGCAGTCATGGGGTTATCATAGTGGGACAAAGGAAGAGACCTGGCAGGAACTGGGATGCTTCACACCTGTGTCCTGGGAGTGGCTGAGGTAAGATGGGGCACAAAGTCATTAGTAGTCAAGGAACAGAGGAGTAGAGTGCTGGGTGTATGAAAACAAACCTACAGCAGGAGTATTGGCAGAGGAGAGGGCCTGAAGCCAGAGTTGTGTGGAGTGATCAAGATGAAGGTAGAAGGCTGTAGTGGGGGTGTGGGGGTCCATGTGTGATCTGATGGCCCCCATCAGATATGAGGATCTACAGGGAGGTCTGAGGGGCTATGAGAAGCAAGAAGACATGTACCACAGGTCCTGAGATTTGTAGGGTGTAGAACCACATATCAAGCACACATGAGACCTGAAGGAGCAGTAGTGACCTTGGGTAATGGGCAGTTAGAGGTAGCAGATAAGGGCACATTCAGGGACAAGGTAGAGGAGAGGGGATTTGGCTGATGACAGACAGGGAGTTCCACAGGGCACTGTCAGGGCTAGGAAGGGGTAGGAGATAGGGAAAGAAGAAATATGCAGGCCTGAATGAGGAGAAGAGCCTAGGTCCCAGGGAGTGGCTTTGGGGCTTAGACTTAATCCTAATTCCTGTCTCTAGACTTCCTCCTGGTGTCTTCTACCCACACATAAGGATCCAGCTTTTTTTCCCTTATATCTCCTTTGACAAAGATCCAGCTTAGGGACCTAGATGCAAGGTGGTACACCTCTGATGGGTGTCCAATGGGTTGGGCAGGGATTAGGTAACAATGGCAACAAAGTCTTTTAGGCTGTGTCACTTTCTGTTTACATGTCACTTGGTTGTCATGACCATTTAAGTAAAGAAGGTTCAGAGATTTGCTCAAGGCCAATGAATTAGAACTCAGATCTCCTGACCCCCAATACTGGTATATTCCTGTGGGCATGGTAGGTGGGTGGGCTGGGGTGGGGCTGAATCCTAGGGATATATACTGAAGTTTCCCCCATGTGCCCACAGACACCCGGGACTACATCTGTGAATTCTGCGCTCGGTCATTCCGCACCAGCAGCAACCTTGTCATCCACCGACGGATCCACACTGGAGAGAAACCCCTGCAGTATGAGCTGGGATGAGGGCCTGGAGGCCAAAGGACCAATGTGGGGAGGGAGCTGGCATGGACACAGACAGGGGACCCAGGTCCTGGGGAAGCAGGAGGAACTGCTGGAAAAGTCAAAATGGCTAAGGCCCCTATTTTCCCCTCCTTGCCCCTTTTTCCAGGTGTGAGATCTGTGGGTTCACCTGCCGCCAGAAGGCCTCTCTGAATTGGCACCGGCGCAAGCATGCTGAGACAGCAGCTGCCTTGCTCTTCCCCTGTGAGTTCTGTGGCAAGCGCTTTGAAAAGCCAGACAGTGTTGCAGCCCACCGCAGCAAAAGCCACCCAGCCCCACTCCTGGGCCCACAGGAGTCACCTGGCCCCTTGGAGCCCTATCCCAGCATTTCTGTCTCAGGGGCCCTGGGGTCCACTGAGGCCCCAGGGGCCATGCTGCTAGGGGCTCGTTCCTCTCCGTCTCCTCAGGTTCCAGTCCTACTCCCTCAGAAATGACCTCTTCCTCCTAGACTTTGGGGAACCAGACCCTAGGAACTAGAAAGGAGCAAAGAGAGTGGTTCAGAGAAGCACCAGATCCCTGGGTCTCCAGGAACTAGGGCTAGGAGTTCAGGGTGAAGTACTCATGAAGAAGTAGGGGAGCTGGACTACTTTATTCTACCTAAAGGACAGAATAAATAGTATTTTACATGGCATGTGTGGACAGAGTGAGTGTTTTGGCACCTGAAACACAGGAATCCTAATTCCTCTGAAATCAGGCTTTGTAGAATATGCTGGAGTATAGGTACACAGCCCTGGTTCTCTCCCTGCAGGTCCCTTGCCCACTCTCCCTCCACTCACTCTGAAGGTCCCAAGTTGCTTTAGGGACTGTTTGGCACTTAACAGTCCTGAAGACTGTTTCAGCCCTAGTTTTGCACTGAAATAGGGCAGATTGTAAGTCTAGTGAGCTTTAGGTCTCTCCAAGATGGAGGAGGAAGACGGGTATGATTCTGGGCCACATTAGTGGTTGCCACTAACAGAGAAAAACAAATACGTCAACCTTGAAGAGGCTTGCCTTCCAGTGCAGAGATGAGAGGTCCTATGTGCAAAGAGATCACTGAGCTATGCTGGGAAAAGAGACCTTGGAACTGCCAAAGGAGCTGGCTCTTAGACCACTTCAAAGTATGCAAAGGCCATCAGCTTCAGGTTTCACAAAGGAGGCTCTTGGCATCAGGAACCAAAACAAACAGCTGTTTATTTCACTAGCTATAAGCAAAAAGTTGCCAGCCAATTCCATGAGATATTACACCTTGCCCTCTCCCCTTTGTGGAACATCTTTCATCATGAACAGAGACCCTTGGCTTCAAGCTTAATTTGGACATAATATTCTGATGCTCCAGTTGGCAGTGCCCAGGTTTGTAGATACTTGGTTTTGGCCTAGGGCCCAGGGCCAATGTCAGTCTTCCCCCACCTGGCAGGAAAACACAGTCCTGAGAAGCATTTTTATTTAGATACCATGAGACCTGCCTAGGGGCCAGGTACATGACCATGCTAAAGGGCTCCTGCCCTTCTTCAACTGGTGGGCCAACTCTGCTAGGCGAGGCTTGGTGCTTCTGGTAAGATGTCCTTCACTGAAATGATCCCTCTGCCTCCAAAATTCCTACCTTGATACACTACCACCTGTCTCAGAAAACTGAGGGAGAAAGAAGCAGAGACTAAAACTCATATGGAACCAAGAGTCAAGAAGACCACAGAGCAAAATTTGATCCTGGAGCCTTATCTGTGCTCATTAGCTGGATGGACAGCAGCCAAAGAACCAGATAAGGAGAGGCTGCAGAAATATAGGCTGGAATAAGGAGATGGGGCAAGAGAAGAGCACAGGGTGGGAAAACGGGAAAGAAACACCAGAGAGCAGAGGAGTGATGGGCCACACCAATCCTAGGCCCTCTTGCATGCTTGAGGTCTGGGAAGTTTCCCCTGATTCTCTGTACCTACACTCCAGAGGGAGAGAAGCAAGGTGATGAAGACTGAGAACAGAAAAGAGCTGACAGGCCAGGTGAAGAGCAACTGAAATGGGAGGAAAAGCAGCAGGCCATCCCATCTTTTCCCAAACCTTGATAATCTAGTTCAGCCCTAGTCCCTAGTGGTAGTTGTAGGTGCTTATCCAGCTCCACCTGGAGTGAAGCCTCTTAGCAGGTCTCCCGAGTGGGACACAAGGAACCCCAGCTTTTACTGTCCAGTCTCCCCTGTAAAAACGATGGCAGAGCCCGCAGAGCTTAAGTTCAAGGCGGCCTTGGCAGCAGCATTACGAGCGCGCGTGTGTGCCCGCTGGTGCTGTGACAGTGAGCGGCTGTGGCTGAAGCACTTGCCGCACTCAGCACACACTGCTGGTCGCTCACCCAGGTGTGTCTTGCGATGTAGCGACAGCTTAGAGCCAACACTGAAGGCCTTGCCGCACTCGGGGCACTTGTGCGGCTTGTGGCCGGTATGGTTGCGCCGGTGCACGTTAAGGTTGGACACACACGTGAAGCGCTTGCCACACTGCTCACAGTGGTAGGGCTTCTCGCCGGTGTGCGTACGCCGGTGCTTGGTGAGATCTGAACGGTCACTGAAGCGGCGGCCACAGTCAGGACATGGGAAGGGCCTCTCACCCGTGTGTATGCGCTGATGCACCACCAAGTCAGAGCGCTGCCCGAAGCCCTTGCCGCATGTGACGCACGCGTGAGGCCGCTCACCCTGGTGGCTGCGCCTGTGGCGCAGCAGCGTGGAACTCTCACTAAAACAGCGCCCGCAGTCGGTGCACGAGTATGGCTTCTCGCCGGTGTGCGTGCGTTGGTGGCGCACCAGTGTGGCACTCTCCAAGAAGCCCTTGCCGCACTCCGGGCACTTGAAGGGCTTCTCGCCAGAGTGTGTTTGCAGGTGTCGCGTAAGCGTAGAACTCTTGCTGAAGCTCTTGCCACACACACCACAGAGGTGACCGTCCTGAGCATGCAGCTGTTGGCTAGCGGGGTTGCTGAGATTCCGGGCTGTGTGGATGCGCGTGTGGCTCCGCAGTCCTGCACCACTACGGAAGGCCCGCGGACACTGTGCACAGTGGTGCGGGCGCTCAGCAGGCGTGGCACTTGACCCCAGTGGGTGTGCCCGCGCCTCGTGGAAGCGCAAGGCACTCTGGCGGAAAGTGCGGGTGCACAGAGGACAGCGGCGAGGGCGTTCAGGAGGATGCCAGCGGCGCCGGTGCAAGAGAAGTGCTGCGAGGTGTGGAAAGCGGCGGCCACAGGCACGGCAGGGGCAGGTGCGGTTACGCCGCCGGTGCGTTCCTTGGTGCAGGTCCAGACCACCGCTTTGGCGGAAGCTTTGGCCGCACTCGCTGCAGATATACAGCGTCTCCCCGGCGTGAGCGCGCCTGTGAGCACGCAGGTCTGCAGCCCGCGCACAGCGCTCACCGCACTCGAGGCAGCGAAAGCTACTGTCACCGCCATGGGCGCGCTCATGCCTCATCAACACAGAGCTGTAACAGAAGCTCTTGCCGCACTCAATGCATGTGTAAGGCCTCCCTGCTGCTGCCCCTGATGCCGTGAACATGGTGAGGCTCTGGTGCCTGCAGGGTGCAGGGTGACGACTGGGTTGGCAGGGAAGTTTGCAGCTCAAGCTTCGAGATTCATCTTCTCGGGGTGCCAGTTTATTTCATTTTCTGGCGGCCTGGAAAGGGAATAGTTGTAGAGGGAAGAAGGGGAGGCCTCAAAAACCAGTCTGTGAACTCCTGGGTTCCTCCCACTAACAGCACTGTGGCTATTTCAGAGGCAGGCAGCCGTCAGCAACAGCTTGCACTTGGGAGGGCATTTCAGCTAGACCATCTTCCAGGTCCTTTCTCCAAGAGGCAAAGCCAGAGATGGTATCAGAAATATGGAGAGGGGAATCCTTGTGCCATCCTACGCAAGAGGAACACACTGTGGCTTTCCTAAAGAACAGTCTAGTACCAGTTCTGCTGGGAGGATTATCCAGCCAGTAGTCTGTCCTTTGAGGTAGTATTCTGACCCAGGGATGTATTAGGAAACCACCAAGGAGAAATGGGGCTACAAGAAAGCCCCTGGGTCTAGACCACACCAACACCTACCTATAAGACCCAGGATTCCCAAGCCACCAAAATGAGCTCAGCCAGGCCTTCGCTAGCTGTGTGAAAGGATACACACAGAGGCTGAGCAGCCTGGGCAAAAAGCTCAGACCCTGACATTACTGGAAGGTCAACTTAAAGGGGCTGGCCCCTAGGCAAGCGAGAATATCCGATAAACACCAAAAAATTGCTCTTTGGCTTTAGATAGTACCTGATAATCATCCCCACACTAGTACACAGACCCAAAATTCCTTGGCCCAGCCTTGAAAAAGCAACTCAGGAGAAAGCCAGGGAAATAGGTAAGAAGGGAGTATGGATTATTAATGCTTTTCAATTTTTAGGAGAAAAGAAAGGGGCATGCCCTTTTCATTCTCAGGGCATCCAGGTTGTTTGCCCCAGCTCAAGAGCTCCAAGGACAGGATAGTAAAGAAGTTCCTTTATGGGGATCAATTCTACTCTATCTTGTTCATCTCAAATATTTATCTGCCCGTGCTCTCGAGTGAGAACACAAATGTGGCCCTTCTTATCCTGTTGTTACCCTCAGGACCTCACAGATCTGTCCCAGCCCAATACAATGGGACAATGGAGATTAGGTATAGTTGCTAGTTCAGTATAGCCCTGCATTGTCCAACAGATCAGGGAAAAAACCAAAACATAAAATGGTCAGCAGTCATTTTCTCATTAAGCAGATGGAAATCCATCATGAACACACAGAGCTTTGGTTAAAACACCCCATACATGGCAGTCTTGTCTTTTGGATGCAAATAGGGTCAACTGAAAATTTCTTGAAAATCATAAACCTGCAGGGGTGAGTTCTGGAGCTTCTGCTCCCCTCTGCCCTGGGCAGGAGGGGCAGCCACAGGATATTCTCCTCTCATGCCTCTGAAGCAGGATTTGCTGTGCCCTGCAGGGGTGAAGTAAGAAGGAAAATGTAAATTCAAACTGAGCAGAGGGAACAAAGGCAGAAGAAAGGAGAGGGAAAGTTTCCAGAAACAGGTTGTTTAATAGACATCTCCTAATATTTAAAAAACAGAAACAAAAAACAAAACCTAGCAATCAAGAATTGTATCATGAATCAAATCACTCACCTTCATCTAAGAAACTACTTCCCTCCCCCTATCTCCTTCCTTTCCATTTATCTGGAGTAGTTTAAATCCCAGACATCAAGGAAGATGGGTTCTAACCAAAATCCGAAAGCAGAGACAAGCCCTTCTGCAGACCTGAGAAGTCCCATGGTTCCTCCAAAGAGAACTGTCAGCCTGGACACTTGCAGTGCTGATTCTAGCTGAATGTGCGATCATTCTACTTTTGCACCACAGCTACAGTTAAGAGAAATGTTTGCTTTAATGTGAATAAAAATCCTGGAGACTCTGTGGCTGATCCCAGATGTCAAAGAGAGCAAGGCCCCAGTGAGTGCTCTACTTGGGAGTGGGGGGAGGTCCTCCAGAAACCATGGCACCACTCAGGCTATTTCTGGGAGCCTCCCTCTCTCCTAGGCCACTGCTGAAAAGTGAAACAAGTACACAAACAAAATTGCACACATATATGGCATATAAACAATGATACCATTTCTCCCTATTATGGATGTGGAGTAATGTTGTTGGTGTTATGTGCCATCAAGTCAGCCCCGACTCATAGCGACCCCTCCTTCAGTTTCCGAGGCAGTATCACTACAGAAGTAGGACTGCCCAACCTTCCTTCTGAGGAGTAGCTGGTTCTCCCTATTATGGATGTGGAGTAATAGAGACCTTGATCTAGGGCGCAGATCCTTGAGTGCCAGGGTACACCATTTAAGTCTCTTCTGTACCTCACGCCATGCTGGAGCTTGCTCTGGGAGAGGTCTGTGCCCAGGGAAGAAACCTGAAAGAAAAATAAAATGAAGTATCACTATGCCCCCCCTCAAAAAAAATGTCTAACCTCCATTTTACTGTGACTTTTGAAGCTATTATACGGTCAAATTTATTATGAAAAAATAAATAAGGATAAGGAAGACCGAAAATGAGGAAAAGGTGTAATTATCTGTGAATTGGTGAAAGGTCCTAATACTTTAAAATATTTTAGTACCTTCCAAGCATTAAATACCTATAAATATTATATATACAGCTAATAAAATATATACTAAAAAGATAATCTAATGGAAAATATTTAACATTCACAAAAGATTCAAGATGAAGTTCTGAGTTTCATGTATCAGTGTATTTTTGTTTCTTATTCAATAGATGTTGTTGTTGTTGTTGTTATGTGCCGTCAAGTCGGACCCGAATGGCCCTTCCAAATCCTGGAGCCCAGAACAAAGGGAGGCTGGCCCACCTCATAGTCCCTGGAGGGCTCTGCCTGGGAAGAGGTTGAAATATCACTTGATTCTCAGAGCCTCTACACCCAGGGTGGAAGGCTATTCCCAGATCTGCTCCAAGTACACTAAGTAGAACTGTATTTCTCTGGGAGATCTGGTTGGGACTTGAGATTCCAATTAGTTCCACCCCTTCTCCCACTGATACTCAAGAGCAGAAACATTCCAGTTGTTGCTAGTATCAGCACATCTTAAGTTTCACAGCTACTTAAGTTGTCCAAAGCTACTCAACACAATCGCTGCAGACCAATCCCAAGTCCTCCTCGGCTTCCTCCATGGACAGGAAAGGAAGAGGACAGGCTTGATGACAGCTCCCCACCCTTTCCCACAGTGGGCTCAGTCTGACCCACAGCAGCAGGGACAAACCTTGTCTGCTATGGCTCAGTGGAAAGCCCCAGGAGGCCAGAGTATAGATAATGGGGTCAGAGACCAGCTGCAGTGATCACCACTGCTCAGGTACCTGGGGCTCAGCATTAATCCTTTTTGACCCTGGCCTGGAAAACTGGAGAGAGAGCTGGGGGAAGGGGGCACATGATGGTAGGTGAATCTAGAAGTGATTCGTCTGTGAATCTAATGGTCTTTCCCAGTATTTTTGCTCCTCACCTCAGCCCAAAAAGGATGCTAAGAGTCATTGTTTTCTCTAGGACTCTGATAATCCTAGTGGCGTAGTACCCAAGGCATTTGACTGCTAACCAGAAGGCTGGCAGTTCATACCCACCCACCACTCCTTGGAAAGAAGGTTGGGTGATCTACAGTGTTATCACCTCAGAAACCCAGGGAGAGGTCACTATGAGTCGGATCTGATTCCATGGCAGTAAGTTGTTGTTGATAATCCTAGATGACAACTGAAACAGAGACCTTGATAGATGCAAATTATCCACTCCCCTTATGGGCAGAGGTTGGGGAGGAAAATTCACTTGACTGCCACTGCCTGCTTGAGGCCTTTCCAGTAACAGTGCCTTCTACCCACAAAGACCTTTTCCCTCTTCACTCAGGATTCTGCTCAAATGTCTGCTTCCTCAGGAAAGCCTCCCTGAGTATGCCATACCCACACCCCATCTCCAGCTTTATTCTAAATTAATTGTGAATGTAATAGGAAACAGCGATCCCCACCCACTGTGCAAAGGTTTCAGCTCCTTTTCTAGAAGTAAGGATGGGGACACCTGTGGAATCCAGAGCACCAGAATGGCTTCCTTTTCCTCCATGAGATAAGGTCAAGTACTCCAGATTCAGTCTGACATGTTTAAGGAGCTGGTGGAAACAGGAATGACAGCTCCCTCCAACCCCAAGTTCCAAGTCTGATCATGATCCAAATACATTCTTTCTGAAGTCTGGCTTCACAAGGATTTTCCTATGAAATCTGTGGAGAGGTATGTATATAGGCAGAGAAGTAACACACCTAGTAGGATAGTTTCAGCCACTCCTTGGAAGGAAGGTTGGGCAATCTACTACCATAGTGATACTCCCTCAAAACCCAAGGAGGGGTCACTATGAGTAGAGTCTGACTCCATAGCACATAACAACAACAACAAAAGTAGGATAGTTTATCCTCTATGTCCCTTTGATGCATGGACAAAACTGAAGCCCACAGTGATTAGAAGCTTCCCAGAAATGGGATGGAGGGAGGACTATATATACGGATTTTATACCCTCTCAGGGAAAGTTAGCTCAACAATTCCTGAGGCAGGCTCAGTGAGGTGCGCTGGGATTGGCTGCACTGCAAAGGGAAGGGAGGCACATAAAGCACTCAATACTTTTTAAAAAATGATGTATTAATCTGGAACTCAAGTCTACCTAACGTTAGGTTCCTAGAGGAGAGGTAATTATTCTGCATAGCCCTAGCTACTACTATCACTCACTGCCATCAGTCCATTCTGACTCATAGTGACCCTGTAAGAGAGAACTGCCCCATAGGGATTTCCAAGGCTGTCAATCTTTATGGAAGCAGACTGCTCCATCTTTCTACCACAGAGCTGGTGGTGGGTTCCAACCACTAACCTTATGGTTAGCAGATATATAAATGCCTTAACCACTACACCACCAGGGCACTTTAGCCATTGCTATACAAAGACTGGGGAGCTCTGGTAGCATAGTGCCTGACTTGATGGCACATAACAACAA